TGTATGGCAGCTGTCAGCTAAAGAGGAAGCTGAAGTGTTCTTGGTGGGTTCATCCTCTTGTCCTGCAGAGGAACCAGGGTGGGCAGAAGCAGCATCTGGGAAAGCTGTGCTGCCATGGGTGTGCAGAGCTTGTCCAAACCTATTCCTGATGGTGTTGGAGGCTGGAGAGACCTCGTTGGTGTCTTCCAGTGAGTCTCCTGAACCTCCACTGATGACTCTGCTTAGAGAGAAGTCCCTCCTGGCCTCCAGGCCTCCCTTGGCACAGCAGCTCTTGTAGGGTGGCAGGAAGAGGAGACTCTTGCCTTCTTCCATGTCTTCACAGGGGAAATGTTTGTCTTTCCCCATCTCCTCCCTCTATGCTTCCTGAACCAGGGCAGTGATGATGCCCTATCCCACTGGGAATATGGTTTAGGGGGTGAATATGGTGGTGCTAAGCTGCGGGTTGGCGTAGATGATCCTGAAGGTTCCTTCCAATCCTGATGGTTATGTGATTTATGTATCATGAGATAAGGGCCCAATGTTGTCTTCAGAGGTCTTTGATCTTGTGTGGGCTGTCCATGGACATCAACTCTGACTCTTAATTAGAAGAGAGTAGAAGCTGGCCATCACACTAGTCTTTTAAGGCATAGTAAGAGAAAAAGGATCCTCCTTTAATAAAATATGATTATTTTTTTCCTCCTGTGATGATGAAGAGGAAAGCTATGAGGTTTAAAACATCTTGTGGATCTAGTGAGGAAAAAGGGCTACAGTGATGCTTGAGATGGATCTCATTGGGTGCTTGTGTTTGCAAGGGGCAATAACCAGTTTATAAACTGTCCTCCCAGTGGCTTTTGCAGCCAGGGATTTTCTTCAGGCCTCACCAAAACCCCCACCTAGAACAACAAACAAATACAATGTTTATATGTAATTGCTATCAAACACTGCCCTTAGGGCAGACGATATGCTTCCAACAGACCCTGCCCTGCTAGTAGGTAAACAAATAGGAATGGAAAACTGAAATTTAAACAATTAAAAAAAAAAAAAAGCGCCAAACCCAGACAGTTTTCTCGCACAACAGTTGTCAGGGTTAATTTCTAGGTGTAGGCAAACCTTGAAATGAGCCCACCTCATCCCACAGACTTTGTTTCCTCCAAGTGTTTCTTTAATTTACAGTAACAATTGCTCTGTGTGTCTTTATTCATCTCCATCCCAGTCCGGGAATGGTGCAATGTGATTTCCTCCTGTGGCTGTCACTTGCTGCAAAGCCTTTTGTGTCACTATTTCCTGTTGATTCAAATGCTCTTTTCTTGCTGTTGCTGATGTCAAACAGAGATAGCAGATCAGGGAGACTTCTGGGCAATGGAAAATAGTAAAATAGACGTGTGAGGAGTTCAGCATTAGGTCCTGTCAAAAACCAATCCAGCTTTCAACTCCCCCTAATTCCCACTGGTAATCCCCAGGAGAGGAGACACATAACTCTTAGGTCAAATTTGCAAGTGTCTGAACTATCTGCTCTTTTAAGATTTCCTTTTCATGCTCCCTTTTTAAGTTATCTACTCACTCTTCTGGCTGCAAATTGCCTTTTTTTCTTTTATTTTAGTTTTTTTCCCCTCCCTCCCTGTCTGCTCTGTCTCTTCTACCTCCCTCCCTGCCTCCTCTCTCTCCTCTGCCTCTCTCTACCCCCCACTTGCCCCTCCCTCTCTTTCCCTCTTTTCCTTTTCCCCCTCTTTTCTTGTCCTCTCTCCCCTCTTTTTTTCCCACCCTCTTTTTTAAAAAAAATAGAATACCAACTGTTTATTTTATTTTTCAGTGATTCCCAAAAGAGTGATTGGTCTTTGCAGTTTGGCAAGCTGATGGTCTTGCTTAAGAGTGAAAATGGGAGGCCTTGCCTGGCTTTGAGATGTTGTTCCCCAAAGGATGGTCAGTAGTGCTCGTTACCAGGCATGTAGCAGGCCAATGCACAAATGCTGTGTTATAAACCAGTTGTGATACCCGTCCTGCTCTTTTCTTCAGCAGCCCCATGGGATTTCTAAGTGTTAGAAAACTGGGCAGAAAATTAGATGGACCCTTTAAAATAAATAAATAAATAAATAAATAAATAAATAAATAAATAAATAAATAAATAAATAGAGTAGCCCAAAGTTCTATATTTATGCCTGACCTGTGAAATGAGCCCCTGGGTGCAGATGACACACATGCAGTGATACTTGCTCAGGTTTGCAGTTAGTCTGAAGCAAGAGCAGTTTTTATCAAAAAGCTGCAAATTCCATGACAGCAGTGATGGGAATTTTAAAACTGTTTCAGTGCTCACCTCAACATTTGAGAAAGAAGTAGTATCTTCCTTTAAGCATCATGGTAGAGATGGGTACAACCAGGATTCTGAGGTGGGCCATGGCGTTTTGTCTGCACTGGAGAAGCTGGACATGTATGTTTTAAGATAGGAAGAGTTAACTTTTTGTCCCTGAAGCTTCCCTTTAAGGAAAGAGTAGAAAATCCATGTGTGTTCACCTAACTATATGCATGTTTGTACAAGCATATGTATTACTTACATAAATACACACACACACACACCACCCCTCGTCAGGCTGCTGGTAAATTAAATTACTTCCTCTTGGGGATCTGGCAAAAGGGATTTCTTTTTTAAGTATGGGCTTGAGGTGATGCCTGGACAAGCTGGGCTGGATAAGCATGTGTCATGTGGAGTGATCAGCAAGGAAAGAGGTGGGGAAGAATAACAAGGAGATGTAAAAGCTGGCCTGAATGGCAAGGCAGAGGCAATACCGGTGCTGCAGCTGGAGGAGGGGCTGCCAAACAGGTAGGCACAGCACAGCCAGGCTGAGTTGAACCAGCTGCAGTGAAGATGTGGCATTGGAGATCTGATAAGGGCTGAAGAGCCAAGGCTGCTGGTGGGTTTGCACAGTTCATGCTGCTCTGGCTCAAACTGCTGCTGTAGATGAGCCAGCTTGGGTGTCTTTCACTGCCCTCTAATAAAGGCAGAGTGAACAATGAAGTGTTGTTGTTTATATAGACTGGAGACAGCGTTTAACACATGGCCTTGGTGCTGCACACAGTAGTGCTGTGAGATTGCTGGGAACAGTGGTGAGGCTGCTCTGCGAATTCTGTGTTTAATTTTGGGCCTCTCACTGCAGGAAAGATGTTGAGGTACTGCAGCATGTCCAGGGAAGGGCAACAGGGCTGGGGAAGGGTCTGGAGCACAGGTCTGATGAGAAGCAGCTGGGGATGTTTAGCCTGAAAAAAAAGAGGCTCATGGGGGGATCTTTTTCTCTACAACTGCCTTTCAGGGGCTGTAGTCATATAGCAGTGGGTGTCCTTTTCCACGTAAAACGTGGCAGGATGAGGGGAAGCGGCCTGAACTTGCACCAGGGGAGGTTTGCATTTCATATTAGAAACAGTTTCTTCACTGAAAGGGTGGTCAAGTGCCTGGAATAGGCTACCTGGGGAAGTCACTTAAATGTCTCCATCCCTGGAGGTATTTAGAAGTTGTGTAGATGTGGCACTTAGGGACGTGGTTTAGTGGTGGGCTTGGCAGTGTTGGGTTAGTGGTTAGCTGATGATTTTTATAGGTCTTTTCCAACCCAAATGATTCTATGATTTAATGATCTTTATCCGCTGGAAGGAGCCCAGAAGGGACTGTTGGGCAGAGCCCAGGATGGCATTGAGAAGCAAGCTGTCCTCATCTGTCACAAGCCATTTGCATTCCTGCTCGTGTCCACTGAGGAATGAGAGGATTTCTGGTTGCTTTTCTTCTGCTGTATGCCTCTCAAGACGTTAATACCAGTAGTCATTTCAAGCTGGCTGGCTGCCAGAAAGTGGAGCACGACAATGCTTATCCTCTTAAACTTAGAGAGGGTTTAAAAGTAGCTTGTAGATGATTAACATCAGACCTGGGAAGGGACTTGAGGGAAAAGAAGGGAAAAAAATTACTGTTAAAAGCCTGACTGGTCTTAACTGAATTGTAGGCCTGTTTTCCAATCTGCTTGTTCCTGATGCTCAGAGTAAAGCTGAAACAATAAATACTGGAGGTCCTGAAACAATTACAAAGAGAAATTTTTGAACCAGACTGCAACAATTCTAAGGTTTAGTTTTGTGACAAATCTGTGCGTCCTTCCTCTCACAATCAAGCAAACACCCCTTTTACACATACTAAACCCCTACTCACTGTTGAGCATGCAGCTCAAGCAAGTGCCTCCCTATGTGTAGGCTTTTGCAAAAGCCAGAACCAAACCAAAAAGGAAACCTCAGAGACCAGCAGCTGTGGTTAGTGAACTGATTGTTATCAAACAGGTTGCTTCTCTGCTCAGCAGAAGCTTTGATTTGTACTTCATCCTCATCAGTTCCTCCATAGCCCAGAGGTCTCTGCAGGTTAATCAGAGGAACGCTGGAATCTGAGGGCCTGAAAAGCAGCTGCCATGCCAAGTGTATGGCAGGAAATCCCATCCTGGAAAACAGTACACATTCTCCAGAAATAATGTTGGGATATCCTAGAGACAATGTTGTGCTGTCACGGCAAAGCCGCAGTCTGTGAGTGGTCTGGTTATGCACGTTGTATTATGGAACATCTTTCCCCAGAGACCTGAGGTGTTTACTAGGGAGTGAGTGACCCTTTACAGATTTCTCATGTGCCACTCAACTTAGAGAATGCTGATGGAGTATCATTCCTTGCTGTTTCAGTCTAAGGATAGTTCAGGGGAAACCCAACAGGAGCTGATTAGCGATGAGCACGCACCTACTGATAGGCCCAATCCACATGTGAATGGGAATTCATTTCATGACAGGGGGCAAAACTTTTGGGAGGAGTGCAGGGCAAGGAGGTACTAACAGATCTTCCTGGTATTGACTTGATATTTCCTGAAAAAGCATCAGCATTTCCCCCCATACACTGTCTCGTGAGTGCTTAATCCGTTTTTATTTGGGAGATAACAGTTTTACTTGGAGTTTTTTAGGCCCAACCAAGGTTGTGATTAATGCTGTTCATGTCTGTTGTGTTTGCCCGTGTGAAGGATCGCCTGTTCTTTGTGATGGAGTTCGTGAATGGCGGGGACTTGATGTTTCACATTCAGAAGTCACGTCGCTTCGATGAAGATCGGGCCCGGTTCTATGCTGCCGAAATTATTTCAGCCCTTATGTTTCTCCATGAAAGAGGCATCATTTATAGGTGAGCTCTGCATTCATTCCTTCTGTTCTGTCTGAACCCCGTGGCTGAGATGGTAAGCTGGAGTTTCCTGCTTGAATAAATAACTGTCACTTGCTATCCACCAGGAACAAGTCAGCTGGGATAACAGTACCTCCACATCCCCCCCTGCATTGTTGGCCAAGGTGCACCTCTTTCCAGAAAGAAGTGAAATTTCCAGGCAGGCATTAAATTAAACCTTCTTAGGTTTTCTGAGAGGTGAACACAAGCATATGTTGCTTTTGCCACTGCGTGCCATGCTATTTAAAGGGCTGGTATGTGCTGATTATACCAAAGCCTCTGTTTCCCTATAGCAGATACGGACCTGTGTTTAAACCCGATGTATTTGACGGATCTATCCAGTGCCACTCAGCCTCTAAAAGTCTTCTTATTCCTGCCATGAGCCTACAGCAGGAGTTTTTCCTTCCTGTCGATGTCTGGCACCTTTGTGTTTGCAACAGCATTGGAGCATTGTTGCCTCCCTGCGTCAGCCTCCACTCCGAGTCTCAAGGCTGTTCTCAGGAAGCTATTTCCCATAGATAGCTTTCTTTTGTTATTTGTCATTGTTCTGTACTCAGGGGGGCAGTTTGGTTATATTTTTTCCTTTCTGTGCTGCTGTAGGGCTCCCCTGTCAGCTCAAGCATAAAGGCATGGGGCAACCTGCATGGATCAGAGCCAGTCTGCTGAGCAGAGCCCTCCCTGGCCAGGGTGACCATTTGACCAGCATCTTCCCATATGTCCCTGAGGCAGAGCAAGGCCTCTTCTGGGGTAGAACAGGACAGATGGAACAAGGAGATGTCAGCACTGAGACAGTCTGATTGTACAGAAAGGTTTCTTTCTGCCGTGCTTTGCAGACCATCTCTGGCATCCTCCTGCCCAGAGCACTGGAGAGGAGGAACAGACAGTTGTTTTCTTTGGAACGCTGCTACCTGGAATCCAGCAGCAAAGCATGCATATTTGAGTATTGTCTTCTCTAGCTCTGCTCAGTCCCACTTGTGGCATGCCAGCACTGCAAAGAATAATGTCGAGTCTCTCTTTTTTTGCTGCGTGGTCACAGTTGTACAACTGGGACCCAGAGCTGGGTTCAGGATGGGACGAGTTCCAGTCCCAGTCAGGCTCTGTTGGTACCATTTCAGGCTGTGGGTTGGGCCAAGTGTTGTTTGGTTTGGGAATTTACATAATTTAACCCAGGCAGTAGTGTATCCTATCCTCCTGTGACAGATAAACCCAGGTTTGAACTCACTAAAACCAGAATAGCTCAGGACTAAAGGGGCCAAAGGGCTGGCGGCTCTGTGGGGGGCACTTCCCTGTTTGATGGTGAGATGATAGAATCAGTCAAAGTAAAACCAGCTTCTCTTGACTCTTCCTAGCTCCAAACAAGAAACAGATGGTCAGGTGAGGACAGAGAATATTAAAATATTTTTAAGTATGAAATCATGTGATATACATGGCACAGTGAAATAGAGAAGGAGTGTCATTTTAATGCTCTCTGGGTCCTGAGAGCATGAAAATGACTAGTGATACATACCATATGTATCAAGCTCCTAAAGCACAGTGATAGTCTGCATAGAATAGCAAATCTACTTTCTCTACAGCTGGATTTCAGTGTAATTCTTCCCTTGTGGATAATGCCAGTTGCTGAAGAGACACCCTGCCAGATAATTACGCAAATGACATTATCCTTAAAATAGTGACATCCAGTAGTTATTGTCAATCATTCGGCAGCAAAACTGTATCTCTGCATAATGTAATGCCACTGCGCTTACAGCTTATCCTGTGCCCCCCAGCCTGCTGCCTGTCACAGGGCAGGAGTAACCGATCCCTCTGGATTTTGGCGCTCTTCAAGTGCTGCCATAATTCATGATAGAAACTGGAGGAGTAATTGAAAAGCTCCTTGAACAACTGCACAGGCTTTGATCTTGTTGAGAAACTGGTTAAGCAGTGAGGTCAGGTAGCTTCAGCTGCATGGGGCAGATTTGCAGGGGGATGACTTGGTTTCTTAAAATTAGACAGGGTTCTGGAAGATGGAAGGGAAGGGAAGGGAACTGCAGGCTGTGGTTGTACCGACCTGAGGTTGCTTCTGTCAGGTCATGACCATGGGACTCTAGGAAGGAGTCTGCAATATGGAAGGGGTGACTCGGGAGGGAATCACTGCACTTGTGTAAGAGAGGTTTGAGATTTTATGATCAGAATGTGAGTGCTGGAAACAGCAGGGAGAGACACCAGGAACAGCCTGACCAGAAAGCATTTTGCCACAAGTTATTCAAGGTGCCTCTTCTTTCTGGATTCCTAGGGTCAGCAGAGGAAGAGAGCTGTTGGCCTAGAATACCCTGGGTCATTTGTTCTTTTAAAAGAGCTTTCGCTTTCACAGGCCTTCATTTTTTTTTTCTTCATTTACAACTCTGCAAAGGAGAGCTGGCTTTCTGGCCTTATCAAGGAAAGATCTTTGTCTTGCCCTAAGATAAGGTTTAGCTGCCAACTTAGCAGCATCTATTTATAGTTGTTTCCTGAAAAAAAACCAATCAGCATACACAGTCCCTTATTCCATCATACAGGGGAATGCATCCAGACATGAAAACAAGCTTTTTGAGTGTTGCCTCACAATATATTGTGCACACCTAACCACAGAGGAGTAGGACAGGGACATATTTGGGATCAGCTTGTGCTGGATGTTGCCAGGAAAAAGTTAGGTGATAATCAAGGCTGTTGTGAATAAAATCTTTGCTCGCAGGACAGTGTTTGAGCACTGCTGCTTTCTTTAAGCTTACTTCTAAAGGAAGATTGTTTGCTGGGTTCTGATGCTGGTAGGTTCGTTTGTCATTTCTATCCAAAGACTGTATGTGCGATTTTTCTTGAGTCAGCTCTTCCCGACCTTCACTTTCCAGTTCAGCAGTTCCCAGGGTAGGGAAAGCATACTCTGGCTTCTGTGCATGGCAGAAACAAAACAAAACAGTGTATCTGAGCAGAATGAGGTTGCACAGTGGCTTACTCAATGCAAGTGATCTGGTCCACTCACAGTCTGCTGGGAAGCAAAAAGATAGTAAATGATTTTAGGGTTTATTTTAAAAGCAGTAGCTCCTTCCATGTAACATTACTGTAAGAATGGCTGTTCTGCCCTGCTGCCCTCAAATTCAGACCTCTTGCACAGGCTGAGGTACAGCTTTGCTAATGGATGGGTCCACTGGCCAAGGTCTCCCATACGATGTCCCTCAATAGGACGCACCACACCTGAGTGCTGAGGGCAAATGCAAATGTTTCCTTAAACTTAGTTGTTGTGGGGTTGGATTTTTTTGGAGGAGGGGACTTAGGGGCTTAGAGTACGATAATGACCCTTCTACGGGCAACACGGAGCAGTCAGCCCAACCTACTGGCACAGCCTTAGCTTTTCTGACAAGCCTTCTTTCTGTCTCTCTGAAAATGTGTCTCACAGTCATTTTCAGAACATATTTCCACAACCTGTAGAGGGGATACAGGATACAGTACATGGTGACATACCTGAACTAGAGCTGGAAGCAGAGGCAGTATCACCTTTGCAACCTGCATTTTAATGCTGGCTTTGCCAGCCCGAGGTATGGAGTTGGATGGTAGAGACACCCAGGTTCCCCAGCTCACCATTTGGCACAGCACAGTGGCAGATACATCCTTAAGGCTGTAGGGAGTGTAGCATGTAGGTAATGTAGCTGACCAGGAGCCAGAGGAGCTAAAAGGCTGGGCTGGAGAGCCTGGGAGAAGGACTGGTTATTGGCTGACTGAAGAACCTTGTTTTTATCCGGAGGGCTCATGCCAGTTAGCTCATTCCACTGCCTTTGTGTCTGTATTGATATTTCTAATGCAACCCACACATCTAGAGATGTTTGGGGTCTGCTTGTGCTCTGTCACACCTCTGGGTGTGGGACGGTGTGCACAGAGTCCCTATGTTCTGATGTGGCACCAGCCACCATTAAGTAGGTCCAGAGACTTGATGGTGTTTAATAGGATGCATGGTCCCTTTGGAAGGCAAAAGATAATTATATAGTTATCCAGATGAGACCATGGTCTGGCCTTGGGGCTGAACACTAGCTCTTGGGGAAAATAAGATAGGCATATTAACAGTGTTTACTCTTCTGTGTGTTACCTGAAAGCATCTGCTCTGTGTGTGTGGTGTTCCTTAGGACAGGGAAAAACTCAGTCTCTCCTGGGATCTGGAAAAATTGCTTGGTACTGACCAGGTCTCTAAAAACATCACCTTTCCTTAGTGGAGGAGACCCATCAGGTCTGCAACTGTGTGTCTCATGACTCTTGGCTTTTATAGGGAATGGACTTTTTGCAACAGGTTGATTCCCTGCCAGTTCAAACCTGTGACACTTAAAGGAAGCTTTACATAAGCCATTTATGGAGACCAATTTTGCTGGGAAGACTCCTATTAACTGTAACAACACTAAGATTTCTTTCAGCAAAATCAATTAAAAATTACGTGCTGAAAACAGAAGCTGAAGGCCTTTCCTAATTATGTACAGCCATTGTTAACAGAGCAACTTTTATTAGTGTGCTGTTTTCTTTTTCCATGGGTCAAGCCAGTGTAGACATGGGATTCCTCATGTTTGCTCTCTGTTGTTTTTTGGTTGTTTTTCTTTTTGGCAACTGGTGATTTTGTTTATTCTCATCCCATGCCCTTTTTCACATCTGGAGACAGATCTTATTTCCCCTGAAGTCAAGGGGCTTTCCCCAGGGAGGTAAATTAGCAGTTGAACTGGCTCTGTGACTGATATCAGCAGTGCTCTGCAAGGCAAACTGGCTGCCGGGGGGGTGGGGGCTATCCCAGGGTTTATCGATGGTTTGCTTAGGTGCTGTGCATAGCTTTGTTTTCTTGGCAAATAAAGATAAATCTTTTGTTCAGTGAGGTGCTTTTAAGCTTTTCTGAAAGAGAGAAACCTTGCAGCAGCCTGGAGACCTTATAGCAGCCTTTGTGTACCTGAACAAGGCCTACGAGAAGGCTGGAGAGAGAC